TTTTGGCTGCACGAGAACATTGTGCATTGGACTGCTGTTTAGCTGTTTTTGTAAATAGATTGGTGTAAAATCAATTATATTTTTTTTAAGTGATGCTTAACACTATCTCTCTTTTCCTAGCTATATATCTGATGATATGAAGTGGCGAAAACAAAGAAACCTGACTCCTCCAGGGGGGATGGATTGTTAGTAATGTGGACTAATAACCCCATTGCTAGCAATGTACCATGTCAGGTTGACCTACACGCGGATGCCACTGGAAACCATAACTGTTGTGGACTTCATAGTTTATTGCTGGCCATTTAAAAGCCATTTTTTTTTAAAGGATTTAATAGGAATGTATATAATTTGATTTGTAATTTTGTGACGCAGGAAATTATACGACTTTATTTTACTCTTTTTTGCATCGATTTTTTTATATAGTTATCGAGGAGTAGATGCAATAACTTTCTGCACATAAAGAACCGACATACAAACATATAATACATACAATATTATCCATCACAATCCTGATAAATTCCTGGTATATTTAACCTGGATAACAGTTTAAAAAAAGAATTACGCATCGATGTCTATATGTTGACTATATATACTCTCCATATACGAGTATATACGTTATAACGTAATATTCAATAATAGTTCCATCCTATCCTCCACTCCAAATATTTCATATGTTTTAATATCAATCGAAATTCTTGTGCATATTGTACCACTTTATTCCTCATGGTAAGAGAAGTCGTATGCTATATATCTATATGGGTAAATATTACTTACCATTGGGCAGATAGAGCTTTCAAATTAATTATCGTATCAAAATAAATTATCAGGAGCATGTCCATATTACAACAGACATCATGGTCACCCTGTCGTCCAAGCCTACATTTAATATTGATTTAATAATTCAATTTGGGCCACCCATTGAACTAATAACGATTGTATCTCTGTAATTCTGTTTGTATCATAAAGAATTGTGACCGTAATGGTTGTCGGTCGAATTTCCAAATTAGATTTATATACTAGTGTTCTGCCCTGGCATCGTTTTTTATATCTTGGTTAGCGCTGCGCCCTGGATTTGTGCGTGTGATATGTTTTTACATCTTGGGTTACATTATTGAAATTATAGTAGGGATACCTGTTTTTTTTCTAATAACAAATATAGACCATATTACAAGGGAATAACGTATTATTCTAATTGTGAAAGAAATTTTGATATCGGCCCAGTAGTTTTTAAGTTTTAGTAGTTTAACAAACATACAAAACCTTTCCTTTCTATTATTACTCTTCCTTTTTTAGTGTGGACTAGCGCTTCTCCCCGGCTTTGCACGGGCTCAGTTGTAGGAATTTTTAACTATTCTAATACTATTGGCCGCAAATGGTATTTCCATCATGACTGTGACAATGAGGGGCAAGTGAAGATGGCACTCCATACCTTCGAAAGTACTTCTGAGCAGCTAAAGAGCAACTCTTACCTGATGAATACCACTTTAGTTTGATGGCACCGCTATGGGTACGAATGTTAATCCCGATAAAATGCATACACCTCTCTCGACTCCGTCAACAGCGCTCGTAGGTATATTTGGTTTAGTTGTATGTTTGTTAGACTCCGTATAGTTTTTTAGTGCCTAAGAACCCGTCACCCCTTTGAACCCCCGTCGAAATTACTATATTATATATATACAAGACAATACTCATTCTGAAGACATGACTCATCAGGAATGGCAACGCATGAGGTCCAAGGGCGTCCCAGTATATTTTGTGATGTCAGTATTTGTTTTTTTTAAATTTTATATGTACCTATATAATGAATATATGCTGTGTACTATCGACAATGTAAATTTAAATTAAGTATATGACTAATGATTTACGTGGGTGTTTGATATGTTGTAGATATGTAATTGTTTCGGATGCATTACACATGCGCCGTGTTGTAGTGGCAAAATGGAATATTCGAGAAATAGAGAAGAAATAATCTTTACTATCTGTGTGGCAAAATGGAATATCCGAGAAATAGAGAAGAAGTAATTTTTATTACTCATATTTCACGTCGAAACTACTAAATCGATTTTGAAATAAATGATGTTAATAAGGATTAGGCATGCGACGATCAACATACTAACCGCTACGCACTCAATCTTTGTTCAATTATATAACATTGTCAGCGCTATGAATTTTAAGTTATTTTTTTTCTACAAAAACATTATTTTCATTTATAATCTCTTAAATTTTATAAAAAGCCTTTTTTTTTACAAAGAAAGTGTTTTATAAGACACCAACTACTCGCCCCGGCTTCGCTCGGATGTACATGTATTATACATATAAACTTTCCTCTTGAATCACTCTATCTATTTAAAATACCGCTTCCAAATACGTTGCGCAGTTTTAAAGATTTAAGCATACTTAGGGACGGACAGACAGCGACAGCGACTTTGTTTTATACTATGTAATGATTTGAATCTTTTTTTATGGCAGATTGAGGGCAGACTGCTTTTTTAATAGTTTTTTTATTCTACCACTCATTCGAAATAGACTCGTCACAAGAAGAATGAGCAAGAAACTTGCGTTTTGCTCTTTTAAATACATGTAGTTCAGATTTACATTTTTAAGAAATTTGTATGAACACAAACATATTTGTTTTGCCAATTTTATGTGAACCTCAGAACTGTATCGGATGACCTCGGTGGTCTAGCGGTTTAGCACACCGCCTTGCTTCCTATGGTCGCGGGTTGGATCTCGCACGACCACCGAGGTCGTTAAGTCGATTCTTTGGTAATCTTTTTCGGCCGAATTATGTAATATTTCCTTATCTGTAGGTGAATAGTATTCAATATCGAATAGAAGTCGTATATTCGTAGCGTCTAAAGTCAGTATGATGTCTATTTATAACAGCAATTCATTAGATAAGCCACTTCTAATGAAAGTGATAAGAAATTATCTAATCTAAGCAGATTTAGATAAACACTACCGTCTAATTACATCAATATATTAACGTACTAACTGCATGCTGCAGCTGTATACATAAAACAATATGTTCCTGTCCTGTATACATATAGAACAGAATCATATTTTATTTAAGACTAGCTGTACACACGACTTTTATTTTTCTAAAATAAAAGTAATAAGAAGCAACTTAGGCTAAGTTAAATACTAAATAATTTTTAATATAAAAAAAAAAAAAATTTTTAACGTAAAAAATGTACCGTATTTATATTCATATCCATGTAGAACACGGTTATTTCAATATTACAAACAGACACTCTAATTTTATTTGTATGTATAGATGGATAAAAGTTTAAATCAGTAATATTTGTATATATATGTATTAATTAAAACGTCATACTTATTATGTAGCTCTTTTATTCCTCGATGACAGAATGTGAAAACAAATGAATATCTTTTCTTTGGAAAGAACCAGTATGTGCTAACTGCACACGTTGGCTAATTTGCGAGGATTTAGCTACGTATAGGCTAGCGGATAAGTCAAATCAGTTAGCCTATATTAACAAATTCACCAGGAATTTATCGTGACGGTTTCCTGGGGGACCGCGTATAGGTCAACCTGACTGGAACTGGAACTTGGAAGCTGATTGTTAATAATTTGGAGTGTTGACCGCTTCAAAATTATAACAATCAGCTACCACGTTCTTATGGATTATAAGATGAGAGTGAGGTCAGGTCAGGTCATATCGTGTAAATCCACCGTGAATTTGTCACGATGGTTTCCAGAGGTCTAATTGGTTAGCACATCTTGACAAGTTCACCAGGAATTTATCACGATGGTTTCCAGAGGTCTAATTGGTTAGCACATCTTGACAAATTCACCAGGAATTTATCACGATGGTTTCCAGAGGTCTAATTGGTTAGCACATCTTGACAAATTCACCAGGAATTTGTCACGATGGTTTCCAGAGGTCTAATTGGTTAGCATATCTTGACAAATTCACCAGGAATTTGTCACGATGGTTTCCAGAGGTCTAATTGGTTAGCACATCTTGACAAATTCACCAGGAATTTGTCACGATGGTTTCCAGAGGTCTAATTGGTTAGCACATCTTGACAAATTCACCAGGAATTTATCACGACGGTTTACAGAGGGAACCGCTTGAAGGCCAATTTGGTTATGTAGGTATGGACCCACAATCCCCTTCCCCTCAGTATAATATAAGCTAGAAAGTTCAATTTTCAACGAAGTTGCTATAAAATTGCATAATAGGTCAGCTTGTGCTTGTATCAGAGTAGAGTGCGCGGGCGCAGCATAACTAACGTTCAGTATTGTTGCTAATTGCAGTATTATGTGAACTGGCGCAGTGGGTTATCCGTTACCTAATAACCGGTTAAATAACACGACCAGTTAAAATTAACGGCAATCATAACGTGCAAATTGCTTTGTTTGTAGTTTTTTTTTTATTTAAGCAATAGGCAAGCAGTATACTTTCCGTCTTATATTTGAACACTGAAGTCTCTGAAATTAAATGAATATTTATTGCGTTTATTTTTCTATGTATAATATGTATGTATTTACGAAAAAAAAATCTGTGTTTGTATCAGTTATCTAGTACCCGTAACACAAGCTTTAGGTAGCTTAACTTGAGTCTTGATGGCGCTGTTTGAATTATTCTGAGATTATTATTATTTCATCATTCATGAATGGTACAGAAAAACATTACGCCGACCACAAATAATTGGAGATTTATGGTTGTCAATGAAATGGTGCACCTGCCTTCGCTAACTGTTTACGCTGGCGGGGCACCAGTGGGACATGATAAGATGAGCATGAGGTCAGGTCAGTTGATTGGTTGGTCACGATGGTTACCAGGGGGAACCGCGTGAAAGTCAACCTGGCCATGGTACATTGCTAGTAATTAGGTAAGGTCATGAGTCCACATTACTAACAATCCCCATTCCTAGGGGGGAATATTCCTGTTATAAATAATGGTTACAAGTGTTACAACTTACATCGTCATAGAATAGGTAAAAAAATAAACTTTTTCATATGTTTGCAGGTGTGGCATAAAGGATGTTTCAAATGTCAAGAGTGCGGTATGACGCTGAACATGCGCACGTACAAAGGATACGGGAAGCTGCCGTATTGTGAAGCGTGAGTATAATTTCCTATTTCTATTTTTACATTTTTACCTGTGACTCGTGAAATTTTACTTTTTTTATTAGGATGATTAAAATACCTAAAATAAATGTAGCCTAAATTACTTCTAACACAATAGGTACTCACAAATTCACCACGATGGTTTCCAGTGAAAACCGTGTGGAGGTCTATCTGACAATCCTAGCAATCTCCGCAAAGAATCAAATTTTTGATTGCATGATTATGGAATGTTGTATTCTCCTGCGCTAACGGTATACGCTAACAGGCTACCAGTGGAGGAGGATGACCATAAGATGGCCATCCTCCTCCGAATGTGAATTTGTCACGATGGCCAACTGACCTGCAGTTGGCCATCGTGACAAATTCACTAGAAATGTATCATGATGGTTTCCAGGGGAACCGCGTGGAGGTCGACCTGATATAGTACATGGCTAATATTAGGTTTATTAGTTCACATTACTAACAATCCCCTCCCCCTCGTCCATCCCCCCAGTATTACCTTGGTTATCACTTACCATCACGTGGGTCGATAGTTTATTTGTCATTATATGTATATGTATAAATTTTGACCAGGTCAAAATTTCACCATTTTCACGGTTCTCGAGCTGCAATTCTACAAACAGACTAACAACATTCTATAATAGGATATGAGGCACAAACAAAAATGAAAGTGACCCCTCTATTATGAATACACAATAATGACGTCCGTTGGTCACATACCAATTACATTCTACATTAAAAACAGCCTTGTTCATTAGCATTAAGGATTATTTTCGTATGAACATATAATATTGTTTTATTCTCAATGCCAAATGAAAGTCAGTCATATGTCCTAGGCCATAAAACATAAATAAATAACGCTGAACACACAGTGCCATAGTCCCAAACTAAGCAGAGCTTGTGCTAGGGATATTAAACAAATTATACAAATACATATATATATATATAACGTATTAATGAAAAATGGCTATATGTTTAATTTATATGCAGTCGAAATGGGAGCGAGAGGTATACCAACAAAATCTCTCTACAATCTTCTAAAAGTAGTTGAATAGTCTTATTTTTGATTCTACAACTCATTTGGAACGCAGATTCATCACAAGAATAATGAGCAAGAAACTTGTGTGTTGCCCTTTTGAATATACGTTTTTTGATATAAATAATGAAATCTTCATTCATTAGGGACTAAATCTACATTTGCAACTGCTCGGAGTTTCCCTCCAATTCAAACAGGGATCGATATTAAGACGGCATGAGCCGAGGTTCGAACGCCTAGCTTGCCATCTTCTACTGGTATATCATACCATATTCAAATTATTGGCGACAGATCTCTTCCTATAATATTTCCTTATTTTTGACATATGTTTTTTATTTACAATTTTTGTCTTTTACGTTTTTGTTCTTCCATTATATTTGTGACATATATACGCTTCTGTGAAAAAAAAAAGTAATAGATCAATACAAACACAAATGTTTGTATTGTGCGGGAATCGAACCCGCGAACATCTATTGATAATTCAGTTTACATAACCACTCGACCACCGAGGTAGTCTTCACAATTAATGAATACGAAAGTGAATTTGTTTGTTACGCTTTCACGCCTTAACGGCTTAACTACTCATCATGAAAATGATGACGCGGACAAAACCGCGGTCATAGTCTAGTTTATAATTAAATATGAATAAATAAATAACCCTGGACATTGACACAGCGCCATCTAGTCCCACGGTAAGCAAAGCTTGTGTTACAAAAAAAAGTAAAGTAAAGTACCCAGACAGTTGTCTGGGTACTAAACAACTGATATAAATACTTAGATATTTTTTTGTAAATATAATACATACATAATATATATAGACCCAGACCGATACAAACAATCATACTCATGAATATACCTAAATGTTTGCACCGTGTGAGGAATCGAACCTGCGACCATCGGAAGTAAAGCAACATGCTAAATCACTAAACCACTGAGGCCGTCATTAGTTAATCCAAATGATTATTCGAAAAGTGGTCATGTATAAAACATGATGATATGGTGAGCATGAAGTCACGTCAGTTAGGACATAGTGCTTAATTCTGTGGGGTCGCTAGGAATTGTAATTATAATATAAATAAAATAGACCCTCAACTAATGATAAAAATGTATATTAAGAAAAGTTACAGAAATCGATACTAGGAAATATTATATAGAACTAGCTGTTCCGCCAAACGTTGTTTTGCCTTAAAATAAAAAATAAAAATTTACGGCTTGACCGATTCTCATGAAATTTTGTGAGCGTATGAAAAATAGATGTTGGTCTGAGAATCTCGAACATCTATTTTTCATCCCCCAAAATGTTAGGAGAAGTCCAAGCCGTTTTTTTTTTTTTTATTTTATGGCAAAACAACGTTTGCCGGGACAGCTAGTTTTATATATAAGATTAAAGCTGTATGTCGTGAGTGATGGATGAGGTGAGAATATTTTATGGGTGAAATATGGAAAATGTCAGTGTTGTCTGTAAGCGGCCAGTTGTCATGAAAAGAGGTACTAATGTGAAATTATTATCATACAAATATATACAATACACCATAATTCGTTAAGAATTAACATTGATGGTTTCCAGGGAGACCGAGTGGAGATAGACCTAACATGGCAAAAAAATGTTGTTTTTCACGAAAAATAATGATGTACAGGGGAAAATGTGTAATAATATATAACGTAACGTCATAATTTGTAATGTAAAGTCAATGAAAATTAAACTTTATCTTAAAGCTAAAAGCAGTAAAATTGATTGAACGTTTAATAGTACATATTTATAATAAATGGAGATTTGGCAAAACATTGTTTTTTTTAATGGATTATAATGTAACGGTGGCGGAGTTCCGGTGGAGGATGATAGGATGAACAAATTTACCAGGAATTAATTATAAAGATTTTCAGGGGTAACCGCGTGGAGATCGACCTGACGTGATATATTATTAGCAGATATACGCCCTTATCCCCGTTACTAACAATTCCTTCCCCCCAACAAACGTGCAGTATACAATTTATCATAGTTTCTCTGTAACTATTCAGTCTTATAATGTAACATTGAAATTTCAACCGTATTATAAAGCTAAAAGTATTAAAATAAATTGCACGTGTTAATACTACAAATTGTTATTCATGATACACGCTGGTGATTGACCGCAACATTATGTCACTAACTGTTGCTTTTTAACCGGCGTCGAAAGTTATGTCTATTATGGACAAACAGACACACTTTCATATTAACGATATCAATATGGCATTACGGAGGATTAAGATGTCGAGTCTCTTATCCTGTAATTTCACTGCCTTAGCTCAGCCTTCAAATATCAGATTACAAAGCAAGCTGCTTGGCTGATATAGGTAAGACTGAGGTACCCACGCAGACGACTTTTTTAGTCTAAAAAAAATCGTCTGATTATCGGGTAAGAAGTTTACCCCCTACTTGCCTCCTTAAAAGGATATACAGTGAAGATTTTTTTCACTAAATAATAATAATAATAATATCTCAGGACAATTCACATAGCGCCATCTAGTCCCAAGCTCAGCAGGGCTTGTGTTATGGGTACTCGACAACTGATATAAATACATGGTTACATTTTTTTTTGTAAATAAATACATATTATACATAGAAAACACCCAAACAGATACAAACAATCATACTCATGAATACAAATGTTTGTACCGTGCGAGGAATCGAACCCACGACCACTAGACCACCGAGGCTGTCATCTGAAATAAACTACGACATCATTTAACTGACGTTATTTGTATTATATATTATTTAGTTAGAATTTTTTATTAGTTACTCATCCAGTTGGTAGTGTCTTTATTGTTTTGTTACAGTCTATTTTTTATACACCACCACTTTACTTCCTTTTACGGTACAAAAATTAAAATCTATACATATAAATAAAATTTAAGTGTCTGTTTGTAATATTGAAATACCTTTACTACATGCATGTGAAAATTTTTACGGTACATACACCAAAATAACGTTTCTTACAATTACAATTTTTGTCTGACTATTTGTTCCGGCTGATCCGGCTGATCTCTGAAATGGCTGGACCGATTTTGACGGGACTTTTTTTGGCAGATAGCTGATGTAATAAGGAATAACTTAGGCTACTTTTATTTTTGAAAAATAATATATATTTCACGCGGATGAATGCGCGGCAGTTACTAAATAAATAAATAAAAATTGTATTCATCATAAGTATCATTTTATCTGTCTGGGTTTTTTCGATGTTATGTATTTTATTTATTATATTACTATTGATGGTTCAAAAGTTAGTTAGGCGGGTCAGGGAGTCATACAAATTGTTATTCATCACACAATCTGGTGACTGGCCGCATTACGTCACTTACTGTTGTTTTTTAAACGACGTCGAAAGTGTCGTTATGTTTATGACTGCCTTATTCGGTTTGTTTATTACGTTTATTTTAAATCCTCGAGTGGCGTCCGCGAACCGGAAAACGCATAGCATAGCAACGCATAGGCCTCCAATGTGGACAAATCACACAGCGCCATCTAGTCCCAAGTTAAGCTAGCTAAAGCTTGTGTTAGGAGTACTAGATAACTGATACCAATACATCGGTTTATTTTTTTCGTAAATACATACACATTATATATAGAAAACACCCAGATGTATCGGACATACAATCATACTTATGAATACAATTGTTTGTGCCGTGCCGAGGAATCGAACACACGACCATTAGACGTAAGGCGGTATACTAAACCGCTAGACCACCGAGGCTGTTATCTGACATATACTACGACATCATTTAACTGCCGTTATTTGTATTATATATTATTTAGTTAGAATTTTTTGCGAGGCCGTCAAAGATCGCTGTAAAGAGCGGATGCGAGCAGCGCAGGACCGATCGTCGTGGAGATATTTGAGGGAGGCCTTTGTTCAGCAGTGGACGTCTTCCGGGCTGAAATGATGATGATGATCACGTGACTGGGTACTAGGTCATATGT